AAGAAAAACAAAATAATTCTGTTTTTTTTTTTTTTTTTTTTTTTTTCTTTTAAAATTCCGTGGAGGGTTAATTTTGCCAGGAGCAAATATTTGTGGAGTAATTATGGAGTTGTAACACTGATGGTAGTTTTTAATAATATAAAACAGAAAAAGGGGGGAGGGGGCTTGTGATGTTGTATTTACTTTTTCATTTTCTTTTTTTGATAAGGAAAAGAATGAAAGGTATCTTCTTCTCTTCCCTAACATTTTGCTAATGTTGTCTGCCAGCCCAAGAATGAGTGGGTTTATCTATCAGGTAAAGTAATACATGTGTATAAATGTGTTTGGGGGGTGTGTGTGGGGGGTGTGGCTTTTTTTCTGAATGGTATTTCATAGAAAACTTGGAAGGATTATTAAACTTCTGTGTTTATAAAGATAAAGGGTAATTTCTGCAATAAGAACTGGTCATCTGTTTTATAAAACTCTGGGCTAGAAGCCTGGGTATGATTTTTGCAGCTGTGACTATCAGCAAGGGGTTTTTTACCTTGTTAGTACCAGCTAATGAGAAAAAGTATCAGTAGCTTTTTAGATCTACATAGTAAAATTATACTGTTGTACAGGTTTGTTAGTGCTCTTCCAACTGCTGCTTGAGTCTTACCAAAACTATACAGCACTCCTAAGCTTGCATTGGTGTGAGTCAGGCTGTGCTACCATCTGTTTCTTTAGGTGCGTCTACATTAGTGTTTTATCTTTGAATCAGCAGAGCACTTTTGAAATGAATCTTCTAGTTTTCCCTGTTTACCTGTATTTGAGTCACAGCGTAGACGCAGTCTCAGGGCTCAGACTGGACTCCCTCTGGGTGAAGCTGAACTGGAAGGCGTGCTCCAAAAGTGCACTTGATCTGCTACAACTACTGGGAGCAGATCAAGTACATGGATTGGCATTCAGTCCATGGCCCCAGCCTAGAGCTGGCCCAGTGTAACACCAGCCGAAATGCATACCATGTAGCCTTCAGGTCCTTAGCACCAGGTGTTTCACTTCACAAATCCGTTACTTGCTGCTGGTAGACATGGTCTTTGAGCTCTCTATCAAGTCTCCTAGCTGAATACTTGCCTGTTTCCCCGCTACAGAAATAGAGCAGCTCTGCTATAGTGCAGGAGGATCAGTGCCGATTGGGTTGGCGCCACTGTAGCTCTAGGACATGTTTCACAGAAGCACTTGCGTTTTGGCTGTGTCATTCTAAAGGCCCCTGAGAGGTGAAGTTAAAGCAAATGCACAGTCCATGAGTTTCTGAAATCTTTATAACTGTTCTTCAAGTATTGTTATGTGGTTTCCAGACATCACAGTAAAGCACCAAAAGTTTTAAAAGGAGCCTGAGATTTCACCTGCTGTAAGTACTTCTGTAAATGAGGCTCCTCTTGAGCAGTTTATTACTTTCTCCTGGGCAGTGATTTGCCTGCTGTGAAGAAATGCTGAAGCATAGTCATTCAGGGTTCCTATGTGATCGGCTACATCCAGTCACAGGCTGTGTGACTTTCTTAAGAGCAATTAAATTCCAAAATTCATGTTTGGGTTCATATCTTACCTGCCATGGTAGTAGCTGGATTTGTCTGAGACTGTGTTGCATTAGATGGTTCAAACGCACAATCAGGTTTCTCTTAGGTTTGTGCTGCTCTTCAAAATTTTTGGCCAGTGCTTTATGCCAACACAGATGGAAAAAAACACATTAGAAAAGGCAGGTGAGCTCTGTATCTCAAGCGGCACATCCAGAATTCTTGACGAAGGAAGATTCTTGTGTACTGGTTACAAAGGCAACTGACTAGAAATTTAAGTGTGTTAACAAACAATATGAAATTAAACAATGAATCTGTCAGGCTTAGTTTTGCTCTCCTTTTGTACATCACATTTCTTCCTCCTCTCTCCCACCTTGTCCCCCAGGTGCACAGCATTGTTCACTAAATAAGCAATTTTCCATGGATTTGTCTTCAGCTTCTGCACAGTATGGCCATAACCTTTTCTTAATGTTTGCCTTCCAACCCTCTGTTGAATAATTTCCTCATAACCTCTCACATGGTTTTCCCAACAGTGAGAACTTCTCAAATATTAATGACTACATATTTACAGCAAGGCGAAATTATTTCATCACTGTTTATGTCTGTCTGGATTGCATAACGTGGGCCGCCTGGACTTTCTTCTGAGGTTCTTGTCTCAGAACTGGGGCAGATATGGGCAGAAGATGATGCAGCTCCCTCAGTTATTCCCAGGGAAATGATGCCACTGGAGTCGGCGTCCTGCACTACACCCTCCCTGTATTTCTGAATATTCCAGTTATCAGCAGGCTTTAGATGTTCTGGTTGATAGTGCAGATATCTGCCACATGAGCTAATTGGGAGAACTTTTAGCAGTGGTAAACTGAAGTTACAAGGGGCACAAACCATCCTTTACAAGACGGCTTCACAATTTTGTTGAAAGAAAGGGAATATAAATGATTCGTGAGTTCAGTTCCATTTTCTGTGTTTTGCTGACTTCAGTACTTTTTCTCTGCATGTAGCAGGTGATCTTTGTTCTCTGTCACCAGTCTTTTGCTTGGTGTATCCCCATATTCCATCTTCACCTCTGTCAGCTGTTCTTGCACCTCTCTCTCATTGTGGCTGTATGCTGTGCTAGTCGTGAACCAGCAAACACGGAAAAACGGAAGAGAGAATTTTGGGCCGCATTGTAGTACGTGACGCCACCATGTTTTCTTCAGTGGGGAAGCTGTTGCAAAAAAACCTCTTCCTTTCTCTTTGGCATCTTGGGCTTGAGCATGCTCTGTGCATACAGAATATCAAGTGATTTTTAGTTTCCAAGCTTCTAAGAAACCTTTGTCCATTCTGCAGTCATTAGGAAAGAAAGAAAAAAAAAAAAAAAGTTGTGGGGGGGGTTTTCCCCTTCATCGGAGCCAAAATTCCACAGTACATAGTATTTGCACTTTTGCCAGCATGAGCTGAATAGTGTTTCTGTGCAGGAGAATACAGGATCTGTCTTAAAGAACTTTATTATTAAAGTTGCCTTTTTGGTAAACCGTTTCATCCTGACAATATTCAGTCTTATTCTTCTGTGTTTCTAAAGGGTCAGAAAGTTATCCTAAACTGACTTTTTTTTTCCAGCTTGACTGGGTTTAAAATGAGAGGTTATCTTCTGCAGAATTAATATGTTCTTCTGAAACTTTACACATTTAAAGGTGTTTTTACTGCTTTTGGTTTTTTTTTTCCCAAATATTTCTGTGAGTGAATTTAGTAGTGGGTTTATTAGAGACACAAATCTTCAGTAAATAATTCATGCATTTGTTCAGTGAAATCTTCCTTAGTAAATCTACTTGTACCACAAACCTTACTTTGAGAGCTAATCAAGCAGTTTGCAAACAAACATGCTTAAAGATGAGTCACCATTGCCTCTCATCATGTAATATGGATGACCCTGAAGGTCTCGGTGACCGCTGTTACATTTGTATGGATTTCATAGCTTGCATAGGCATCCAACAGACTTATTGAAGTCACAGGTGTTATTTGCAGAAGTTTGGCATATTAAAAACTTCCATTACAAGGTGTTTGTGTGGGTTTTTAAATGTCTTTAAACCCATCAGTGTGTGTGTGTTTGCCAATTTACCGTGTATGTCTCTGTTCAGAGCTTTAAGTTTATATATTCTTTACTTGTTAATGTTTTTGTGTGTTTTGGATTTAACTTCAATGTTACTGCCTCTTTTTTTTTTTTTTTTTTTTTTTTTAAGGGAAAACTGCCAATGACAGGAATGACTATCACAAAGCTAGAAGACAGTGAAAACCATAAAAATGCATTTGAAATATCAGGTATTGACGATAAATAATTTTATTTACTACTTACTCCAGAATATTCTATTTCAAACATCAAATATTCTGTCTGAACAGAGGGAAAATCTTTCTCATTGTGAGGGTGACCAGGCACAGGCACAGGTTGCCTGGAGAGATCTCCATCCTTGGAGATACTCAAAAGCTGTCTGGCCATGGTCCTGGGCAACTGGCTGTAGGTGGCTGTGCTTGAGCAGAAGGGTGGATGACCTACAAAGGTCCCTTCCAGCCTCAACCATCCCATGATAATACAAATTTTGTAAGGCAGCTACCCAGAGCCTCACTTGAAAGCTGGTTTTTACTGCTTGTCTTAAGCAGTTAACAAACTGTTTTTGCATGGGATTCCTCCCCAAATTTCTGTGTTGTAATGAATGGAGGCAGTAGCCTTGGAGAAGGTCCTTTATAATGAAGCAGTTCAAAGTATGCTATTGACTGGAAGAAAAGACATTCCAGAGACTCTGGAAGAGCTTCAAGAAAGAGTTTTCTTCCAGAAATGGTCCACCTTTTTCCTGTGAGACCTTTAGCATCTCTGCCAATGATGGTTGCCGTTGTGCTTACTTTGGGTAATTTCTGTCTGTTAAGTCATTTGTTTCAGCATGTACCTTTTCCTTGGGGGATTTAAAGGACAGTGGGAGCAGGGTCCACATGGTGGAGCTTCATACCTTCATTCATTTCCTGGATCAATTCTGCCTCTGCAGGTTGCATTTAAGTAAAGTAATTTTGACCCTCTCAAGTGGCGGGCAGTATCACACATCAGTGCTATGAGGCAGAGGGGAAAAAGCTGCTGATGGTACATATTCTTCTGAGATAATAGCTACGCAGCTGACCTCGGATGAGGAATGCGATGGCTTAAAATGGAGTTAACCAAAGATTAATTTCTGCAGTTAAGATTGCTTTCCCAAGTGACTTGTGCCTGAGCTTTAGTACTAGATTCAGACCAACTTTATGCCCTTTTCTGAGAGAAGGTCAGGGAATGGTATTTTATAACTTTTCCTATATTGTAGCTTATAGACTCAAGAATGACATTTTAGGGTATATGCTGGCTTTCCTGGGGAAGATGGAGAAGCACAAGGCTCCTAGATGAACCTGTCTCCTACATCTATTTCTTATCATTAAAGGTTGTGTTTAATTATTAGAGGTGGGGAAAAAAGGTAGAACTCCTACACTTGGTACAGGAACAGATACACGGAGGAAATGTCTGTTACAACCTGGAAAAGTGAGATGCTGTTATTCTGAAAATCCAGGTTAAAATTTTTGCTTAGTACTTAGGGAATATAGTGTTTTAGGAAACTAATGTCTTTATAATCATGTCAGATTGACTAAGTTGTTTTTCTGTGGTTTCCTACATCTATTTTCTGTCACCTAGGAAATATGATTGAAAGGATACTAGTGTCTTGTAACAACCAACAAGATTTGCATGAATGGGTGGATCACCTGCAGAAGCAAACCAAAGTCACAACTGTTGGGAATCCCACCATTAAACCTCACTCTGTGCCATCTCACACAGTAAGAAAGAGCTTCTGAATTGAAGTGAATGAACAGTGTATGCAAAATTAGGTTATCTGGCAAATATTCCACTGTGTAAAGCATTTTTTTTTTTTGCCATTAGTAACAAAAACTGAATGTTACGACTGTAGTTTAATGGGTCAAAAGGTCATTCTGTTTTTAATTGTGTGAACAAAGAATAAAATGCTTAGATCTCGGTGTAATAGTTTAATGGGGTAAAAGAAAATTCATTATCGTTACTTTTTTCTATTTTGACCAAGTAATACATCATCATCTTTTAAGTATCCTTAGAACAGTAGGTTTTAAATGGTGATGTACTTGACAGGCTGTGGAGAAACAGTTTCCTTAAGTACCTTCTTTTGGGCTCTGCATTTGAGTTGTTGGTTATGAATGGATCTAAATTTAGCTCTGTCCTTAGTGGTGAGAGAAGTGGGAGCAGGGCTGCTCGTAGCTGTTCTTTCTTTAGTGCGTTCTCTGTCTGTGGTAGACAAAAAAAATTTCTTTAAGCTCCATTTTTCCAAATAACAATTTAGTGTCAAAATTTTCAAAGGCCAGCTGTAATAAACAGATGCACTAGATAGCAAGTGAGATTATTTCACCAGTCCTTGATGATACTATGTCTTTATTATGATAATATGCTTTCTTTCCCTTCCCATCACCTTTGTGTCTCTGACAGCTTCCTTCCCATCCCGTAACACCCTCCAGCAAGCATTCAGACAGCAAGCCAATACCACTGACTCCTGCATACCACACTCTCCCGCATCCGTCACATCATGGGACTGCACATACCACGATAAACTGGGGACCTCTGGAACCTCCAAAAACCCCCAAGCCTTGGAGTCTGAGCTGCTTACGGCCTGCACCTCCATTACGGCCTTCAGCAGCCCTTTGTTATAAAGAGGTGAGATGCAATAGCCAAGAAATATGACTGTGTAGCAGGCTTACAATGGGAAGCTTAACTTTCTTTTTTACACGCCACCATTTTACAGTTTTGTGCATGTTTTTATATAAAGATGATTTAACAGCCAGTGCTGAATCAATGGTAATGGACTAGTGAACGCTGTTTATTTCAAGCAGGGGTTTAGTCTTGCAGCTCAGAAAATATTAAGGTGTATTAGGAGAGTCTTCCCCCGCCTCCCCCAAGTGCTTCCACTTATTCCAACTCTTTATCCAGTTAATAAATACGATTTTTTAAATTATTTTTTCGAACTAGCAGTTCCTTTGTTATGTTGATCATCCAGGCTTATTGCAAAGTAAGCTCTTTGCTAACCACACTGCAAAGTATCTAGGGGAAGGGATCTTATGGTGCTTCAAAGTGCTGTATCAAATCATTCTAAACAGCTGTGGTGGTATAATTGACTCTTGGTTCCTCGGTATTTACCACTGTTACTAGGTCACAATAGCATATTTAAAAAAAAGAAAGGTAACTGTCAAAACATATGTAATGTTTTTGTACTCGAAAGCAAAAAAAAAAAGCTTAGATTTTAAGATGCTGTTGTAGTTTTTAATTAGCATATAGTATGAAACAGGAATCTGTTCCAAGAGAAATAAAATGTGGTGGTTTTTAACCACAGAAAGATGGTGGCGGTAGGTTAATTTGGTCATGCCAGTACATTTTGTGTGGTTTCGTAAGAAAATGTTAGATTTGTGTTGGAAGTCTGTGTGTATGTAAGAAGGAGAATAGTGGATGCCCTGTGGCTTGCTGATATCTCCCGTTTCAGTATCTTTGTCATGTGTTCTCATGATACTAATTTAGTGTGAAGCAACAGGGCCCAGAAAGAATCATGCAGTTATGCGTAAGAACATTTTATTCTGCAAGCACGAGATGTTGACAGAAAAATTTTATTTTGCAGAAAAGTAAATTGCAGTTTCTTAGAAACTGTAGCCTAAACACTGTTCCCCAGTGTGGCCTGGCTGTGGGTTTTTTTTTTTGTGGTTGCTCTGTGTGTGTGCCTTTTCTTTTCTTTTGTAAATCCCCTAAACAACAGGGAAAAAGTGATAGGTGATCTGCAACTGGAAGGTTAGTATTTAGGCTTAGTTGCTACAAGAGGTTCTTCTATTTGGCTGTACTATATGCTCATTTTATAATTTAAGTTAAATTCCTTTCAGGTTTTCATGTGTAGGGTACTAAATTCTCCAATGTGGTAAAATTTCAATCATCTTTACAGTGTTTAGCATACAGTGATGTTCAAAACCTATCTTCATCTTCTTTGGTCTGTCCTGCTCATTCACCTTTTTACTTTCTTGTTCTGTATTTTTATAGAGGATGTCTTGTATCCTTAAGGTAAGGGGTAGACCAGTATATTCCTTTTGTTCCTGTAACCTAGCATTGTTCCTGTAAATTAGCATGACCACGTTTTGAGCAGAAATGCTGTATTTGTTGCTGCTTTTTTTTTTTTTTTTTTTTTTTCTGTAAAGCTTTGTAAGAACAGACCTAAACGTTTACAAATTCTGGCTTTGAAGAGTATACTACCTGCCAAGCTTCCTTGTTAGGACCTTTTTTACCTGCTTCTACGTAGACAAGTGAGATGGTTTTGTCTCTTCAAAAGTTAAGGAAAAAAAAAAAAACAGTGTTAACGTATGCCTGCCTCTTCCCTTCGCTCTAGCTCCCAAACAGCCTGCATGCTTTTGCAGCAACTTTTCTGTATATTTCTGTTAATAGAACAGATACAATATCTGACTTTGTGTATAGTTGGAGGAAGGGTAGAGGGGAAACCAGCCAGTTCAGGCAAATCGGATGTGCCAAAAAGTATTAGTGAACTGAATTTTGGTGCTGTTAAAATATTTTTAGTTAGTAACTCCTATATCCATCTTAGAAGTTAAACTTTTGAAATATTGTAGAGAAGCTCTACTCTTTTTTTTATTTTTATTTTCCCCACACAGGATCTCAGTAAAAGCCCTAAAACCATGAAAAAGCTGCTTCCCAAACGCAAGCCAGAACGGAAGCCATCAGATGAAGAGTTTGCACTGAGAAAAAGTAAGAGACTTGAAAAAATGTCTGCATAATACAAAGGCTGGAATTAACATCAGTTTAAATTCTGTGAAAGTTATATGTACAGTGTAAGCAAGTCATTTGGTTTCCTTTCTCCTGTCAGGGGGGAGGGGGTAGGTATCTCCAGCGGATGGTTTGTTTTATTCATGTTAGGTGCTTATGTCACGATGGGATTAGTTGCTTTCTAGAGTATTGACTACAGCGGATGTATGCTTGTAAAGTGCCTATTTCTATCTCTTTGCTAGAGAGGGAAATGAGGTTGGCTATAGAGCTGTGTAAAGTTCAGTAAGGTAAACCTGTCTTTTAATACTGTAAACAACAATTTGAAGACACTATCCCACTTGTGCAGAATACTTAGTAGCTGTATTCTTAAATTGATCCTGGTAGGAGCTTCTGCTGAGCTGGGTGTTGGAAAGCTGGGTATTGCTGCTGGTTTGAAGACTAGTTGCTTCCATGGTCACTCTTTCTAAGATCCAACAGTCTGCTCTAATCTCCTAGAAATAAGGTCACTTGCTAGTGTCTGTGTCCGGATAAATTGCAGAGCTTTAGACTGCTTGAAGTCTGAAGAACAGCACTGAACCAAGAGAGACTGAGGAATGTATAGAAAAACAGAAGGGTCAAAATCTGGATGTTGGGGTAATTTGGGGTGGAGGGAATAGTAATGTTATCAAGCAAACACAATACTCCTTTAGTTGTCAGTGTCACTCTAATTCTTCCTTATAAATTTGTGTGAAGGAATAATCCAATTACTTGTATCAATAAAAGATAGTATTTAATATGAAGGCCAGATTCTTCTACTGCAACTTTAGCTTCTCTGTGTCTGTCCTCTGCTCATGGGCTTTTTAAGAGAGAGACTGTGCCTTGAGTGTTCAGTGCATGAAATGTGTTACCATGAACATTGTCTCTCGCTGGTTTATGCGAGGTTGGAGAGAAAAAGCTTTTCCTCAGCGCACTGTTGGTTTGTCTAAGGTAGAGGCCCTTCTGTGTGTGATGTGAATGTCATATGGCAAAGATTAAGGTAGTGAATAGAACAGTCCTGTGTTCATGGATGTGCAAGTGGACATTTTAGTTCAGGATGTTTTATCTCTTACAGGAAGGTATCTGTTTAGGAAAAAAGAAAGTACTGCAATATAGTATCTTTTCAGATGTTGGAGGATGGACATTCAGTAGCTGTAATGACAGCGGTAAAGCTGTCAACTTGCAGATTTAGAAATTATTAAAGAACACTTAGTGAGAGGAGATGAGTTCTTTTTTGGGGGAGGGAGGGGCTCTATAGCTTGCAAATACATTTTAGTTTTATTCCTGATTAAATTAACACCTTTCAGTATTTTGTATGTAGGAGGTAACTTTCAATAAAATGGATTTTTGGTGGCTGTAAGTCAGAGAGTGTTACTTACAGAAATACTTAGTGATTCTTGGTATTCATCTCTTTTTTCACCCTTTGTGCCAGTAATAGGAAGCTTCTGTTATATGTTAGTGCTCCTTCAACCTTTTCTAGCTTGTGGAGCAATAAAAGTTTTCCGCTGAGGAACTTCTATCAGACTTAAAGCTTATTGATAAATAAGTTTGGGGTTTGTTACTTATCTTCTCTGGAATCCCAGGGATTTATGGGCTATGTTTTGAGAACTGCTATGTCAAATTAGCATTGTAACAGTAAGGTAGGTATTTCAACCGAGTGTCCTCACAATACTCATTCCAGAAGTGAAATATTTGTCCTGCTACTGTAATAATATGATGCTGCATTCTAGCCACAACAAAATCCAATTATTTTTCCTGCCTTGAAAGAGAAATAACCTGTACTTTGGAGTACCTGTGTCTCTTAAGCTGTGGGGAAACTATAGCGGGTCAAGAGAATTTCTTCAGCAGTTAGCTTGTCCGCTGATCCTGACAAATGTTTGGACAGTTGGCTTTGTTTTGATGGTAATAAATCACAAAAACTAACATGATGCATTGGCTGACAGAGAATACTACTACATTTTGATGTTGAAGGCAGTTCAGATTCATGCAGCAGAAAAATCTTTGAGACTATTTTTTTCCTCAAGCTTTGCAGGAGGAAAACAGGAAAAACGCTTTCAAAACAACAAAGCGTCTTGCCCTACATTGAGACTCCTGGTTCCATCTAAACTAATGGTAGAGGTACCTCTAGATTTCAGTTTGACTGGAATTTCACTCTGTTGCAAGTGAACAATTTGACAGCATTTTTACTGACTTCCCCAAGGAGAAGATTTGCTGTGGAGCTCTGCCTTTAGGAAAATTCTGGCATGTTAAGCTTGAATAGTTAGATTTTTTTTTTTTCCCAGTAGTGCTGTTTCTGCTTTAAAGTCTGAGAATTTTAATTACTCCACTTCTCACAGATACACTTACATGATAGTGACATCTTTCCAACTGCACACTGGACTGAAACTGTACTTACATATTTATTATGATTTTAATTCTGAATTTAATTTTCAATAGTGTGCTGTTAAAAGGGGTAAATCTGATATATGTACAAAACCCAAAAGTTTTCAAGATTTCGGTGAATTAATATTCTGTTCCTTGATTTCTTTGATTAAATAATGAAATAATATGTATATAATAACTGGGGTATCCAGGGTTTTTTCAGTTTAATGGCTATTTGGTTTAGAACCAGAGTGATCGCACTTCAAAACGCATTCTGTGCAACTTCAGATGCTCAGAAAATTTCTTGAATGTGTGGGTAGTTACTCTAACTGGTTTTTTTTCCAAGCATTTCAAAATAGTATTTTGTCTTTTTAAACTGTTACTTCTGCTCATTGAAGTTTGATTTTTAAAATGGGATGATTAAGAGAATTTTAAAGGGTTGATTAGGCTGAACTTTGGTCTCAACTGAAACATAGTGATTTACAAAGGCTTTTCTGTGTTAAGAAACATAACCATGTTTAAAATTTTGTTTTTTCCCATTGATTCTAGGTACAGCTGCTTTAGAAGAAGATGCTCAAATTCTTAAAGTCATTGAAGCATATTGCACAAGTGCCAAAACACGTCAAACACTAAATTCAAGTAAGTTAGAAAATATTGAAATGGCTAACTAAAACACAAATTAGATCGTTTGCAAAAAAAAAAAAAAAAAAAAAAAAGTGTATGTTCTCAGGCCTTTGCAAGTAGCCAGCTGGACCTGGAAGAAATAATAACCTGTTTCTGGCTTAATGTCAGTGTTGAGTGTTTAAGTATTGGATGCCAAGGTCCATGGTTAGAGACTATAATTCTTTCAGTGTTTAAAAAAAAAAAAACCAAACAAACAAAAAACCCAACCAAAACAAAAGTGACTACTTGTCATGGTTTAAAATTGCACAAAACCTTCACCAGTGAATGAGAGATGCCTGAACTGACTATAATGGTTGGTCACTATGCTTTTTGATAACTTTCAAGAAGCTGGTAAGTAGTGAGGAGGAATGAAGAACAAGTCATAATTTTGGAGGAGTGTATTTTTGTCTTGTTCTGTTCAAAAAAGACTTCCGCTATGGAAAAGTAACCTAGACCTATAAAAATTTCTTTTATTTTATTACCACTAGTTGTTTTTAGCATTAATTACCAATTTTAATCACATCTCATAATTTCAGGAGAAATTGTTCTCAGATCTATGTGTTGCTTAAAGCCATTTTTAGTTTCTCAGATCAATACCTAGCTTATTGAAAACCTGTAACGTGCCTCTGGGGTCCTACTTCATTTAATCCAAATCAAGGTTGCCATGTGGAGTTCCTCTGTATTGTAAGTAAAACATTGCACAAAGCAGGGGAGTCCACCACCAGCATGTGTTCCATTTACACAAGGAAGGAGAAAATGCTGTTGCGTTTGTTCCGATTTGCACAGTTTTTGCACTGTTGAATACCGACTTAATTCGGGGATCCTTGGAACACAGTATAATCATCCTGAAGTACTTGTCTGGTTTTGCTGCTGTCAGGAACTAGAAGAGTGGACATTATACCTTACTCCTTGTTCACTAAAGCTGTTTACATTTGCAGTGTTAATCACTGTTACTGCTACCCACAGCGCTCTGTGCCTGTTTTGCTTCCAAGCAAAAGCACTTTATGGTGGCAGTTGAGAAGTCTCAAAACGCAGTTGCAAACTTAGTTCATGGATTTTCCTCGTATGTGTTAACTTACCATTGTCACCTTGAAAAAATCCAGCTACTTTGTAAT